AAAAACTTGTGTGTCACATATTGGACATGGCTCAGCCATCATTTTATTCTAGTGAAAACTGAGTCGGGATTGTCATTTCATTTCGGCGACTCACTCTAGCAATGTTAACTTTGTATTTTTGTTATATGAATAATAACATGGACTATGTCACTAATCCATTCTGTGAATACTGCAAACTTGTATCTTTCAATTTGAAATACTTCTTTCAGCGACTTGAAAAGGTATCAAATAATGGAAATAAAGAGCCATTTTTTTTTAAGAGGAAGTAAAAAAGAGCACTAATTGGTGCAGTCCTCTGAAGAATAATGTAATTAGCGGAGGGATATTTACTATCTAGCAAGAACTGTCATCTTGAGAAACCAAGTCAGTTGGAGACACAGACCCAAGCCCCCAGTACACAGATAGCCCCCTAATGCCCAGTGTCACAGGTAGGAATGACACATTCAATTAGCTTACCAGCAATTTGGAACCTTGATATACTGTAGACCAGGAGTAAAATGGTCATTGTTTCCACACAAGCTCTGCTGGGGACAATCTCTAGGATATTCCTCTCCCAGGAAAGTCCTGGGCGACATGGAGAAGTCCAGCTTCCTGAAGAGTCCTGGAGGATATTGGAACTTCATCTGCTGGGAGAAACATTGATTACATGGGTCACTCTGCCAGAAGACTACTGGAGACTTGAATGTCCAGCTGGTGAGATACCCATGGAAGAAGTGGACGTCCAACTTCCCAGATAAATGTAGGTGTCCATATAGTGGGAGACGTGAATGTCCAGCTGCTGAGGGCCTCTTGGAAGATGCAGGGAAATACATCTGCCAGGGGCCTCATGAAGAACAATATATTATAGATTTGCTGGGGGACTCATAGAGGACACTAAGACGTCTATCTGCCATGGAACTCATGAAGGACACAGGGCTGTACATTTTCTGGAAGATTTATAGGACACATGGAAGTTCTTCTGTTGAGGTACTCATGGAGGAAACCGTGACATCCAGCTGCTGTGGGACTCGTAGAGGATATGGTAACATCCAGTTGCATGGGATTAGTGGCGGACACTGACATCCAGCTGCTGTGAGACTTGTGCAGGACACAGTGACACTCAGCTGCCATAGGACTTGTGCAGGACACAGGCATCCAGCTGGCAGAGGACATGGGGTTGCCCATTTGTTGGGAGACGTCCATGTGTTGTGGACTCCTGGAAAACATGGGGACAATCATCTGACAGGAAGATCTGAAGGACATGGGTAAGTTCATTTGCTGGGAGACTTCCGTCTGCCTGAGGACACAGGAATATCCATGTGCTAGGAAAATCATGGAGGACGTAGGGCATCCAAAATAAATACATTAACAGCAGGTAAAGTTTCCTAATTTAACGCATGTGTTATAACAATAGAACTTTACAAGTCCAAATGTAAAATGCACCTTGCAGTGAGAACATTAACCTTGCAGCAAAAAAAAGTGTTCAACCATACGTGAGCCTAGTTCTCGGATCCACAGTCAGTCACAAATCTGATGCATACCATTGCTGTTAAACGTCTGGTCTGGGCTTCTGAAACATCTATTTTCACAAAATAATTATACTTCGGCATTACTGTCCATGGGTTTGAGAAACCCAACAGCATTGTCCTGGTACACACAGGCTTGGGTATGGATACCAATTCCAGGGATGGAGTTTCACTTTCCCTCTTCCAGTAGTTGAAACTTTTAAGGGAAAAATTGGTCTACACAGGTTAGGAAAGCACTTTATTGCTTCAATATCTTCATATTCTGTGCAAATCCTAAAAACTTCAAAGCAGGCAAAGGAAAGTATGCTTTCTGTGCCTCAGATGTCCAACTTTGCACCTCCCCATTTCAGTGCTCAGGATGGCCATTTGATTCCTTGACCGCCTCTGATGTTAACAGTCCTAGTCTACAATCTCCTCCTCCACCATCCAGGAAACCCATTCTCATGTCCTCTTCAGTGCTTCTTCTGTATATATAATTACATGGTTGAATAAAGACACCAGTCCATCCAGTTCAACCAGTGCGTGTGTTAGTTGGTAATGTTGACTCCCACGCTGCCATCTTCATCAAATGCAGTCTGAACCTGCTAATGTTCCAACATAATCAAAACAAACCTCTAATAGACGTCCCAGTGCGACCCCCATCAACTTCAGCCTTCTTCGGTTACATTACAGTGCAGGAACTAGCTACCCTTGCCTTCTGCTTTTCCAGCATTGCCACCATCAACTTTGGGCCAATAATGTTCCTATTTGGTCACCAGTTAACAGCATATTAATAGTGTAGTATAACTCACCATCTTTGATTTATTTTCTTTTTTTACACAATGTGATCACCAATATTCTCAGCCTCTTTATGTTTTAGTTGGGGGCACTGGATGTCTCAGCCTTCTTATATTGCAATGTGGTCACCATTATCTTGAGCCTTCTTACATGCAGGAATGTTCCCCACCAATCTTGGTCGCCTGACTTGTCAAATCACCAACCTTAGCATTGTGATGTTGCAGTGTAGCCACAAGATACCATTTGCCTTCAGACAACTGCAAGGTTTAGATAATAGTTACTGTCCAGCGTTGTCATTCTTGAGCCTATTGGCATTCTGGGAAAAAAAAAAAATCAGCAAAATTCTCATCCCCATGATTCTGTATCATATTCCCAGAGCTTAAATATATATAAAATACGGCTTCTACATGTACTTGTATATTTTTTTAATAACATAATTTGTTTGTGTCTGTTGTAAAAGTTTATCTTGCCCTATCACAAAATTTGTTCTAGATTTTGGTATTCATTAAACACACACGAGCACAATCTATGGAGTACAGTTTGTCATCTTCGTAGGATGCACACAGCAGGTAGCCAGTTACAAATACTAGAAATACTTTCCTTTATTCAGTTGCATCTGATTGTTAGAGTTATGAACATTTCTGCCCACTTGAACTAAAAATATGGATGTTATTTTAGATTTCCAAAGTTTTGCCAAAGTTTGTTTCCCATCAAAAAATTATACGGTGCCCTAAAAGTCCAGTGTAAAAGTGAAATCTATTGAGACACCTTCCAGCGCAGTCACATCGCTTTAATGGTCCCACGAGGGTACAGCCTTCCACCTCCACTTTGTTCAGCAACAATCATCTTCCGATACTATAGCCAGGAAGATCCTACATCTTCTGTCACTACTTCGACAAGGACAAGCCAGAACAAGGCACTGAAGAGGTGGAGAGAAACCCAGACCTTGTATCAAACCCCTTATAGAGATCTTCTACTCTGATCCTAGTATGTGTCTACTAGAGAAGTTTGACAAGAAAGGCTTGCCGAAATCAGATGTCTTGTGTGACAGAATCCAATTATGTATGTGTGGGGTTTGTGGCATATGGTTTGAGATTTGCTCCCTCCTCTTCCTTCTCACAAATCAGAGTGCACAATTATAGAAATAGATCGTGAACAGTGACGCGCGCACGAGAAAAGAAAACCACAAGTGGATTACATAAAATGTTAGCAAATCATTAGGAACAAGCAACATGCAAAAATTAAAGCATTTTGCTACAAAGTGTAACAGTGAATATGGCAGAATATATAGTCTTCAGCTATTGTTTATTAGTCTCACTGTAGCAGAATTGTACAACAAACCGAGAGATAAAGTATCACCAAAGTTCTCATCTGAAGTCACTTTTTATGTCTCGAGAGATCGCGCAGACACAAGGACAAATCTTCTCCATCAGAATCACCTTCTTCCTTACACTGAGGATCCAGACAGCCACATGGAATTCAGGAATAATATCTTCTCCATCAAAATCACTTTCTTCCTTACAATGACTCAGGATGCAGAGCCACGCGTGGATTTCAGAGACAATATCTTCTTTATCAGAATCATCTTCTTCCTTGCAATGGCTGAGGACGCAGAGACACACATGGAATTCAGGGACATCATCTTCACCATCAGAATCACTTTCTTCTCATGAACTCCATATGCACGTTTCTTGGTCGTGATTGTGAAGAAGACCATAACTCCCACGTGACGACCGCGTGAAAATAGAAGTCAGAATATGACACTCTTCTAACCAGGTTCCACGTAGTTTCCAGGAGATTCAATTTTCCACAAGGCTTTGTGAGCAGGCGCTAAAGAGGACACTGCACAGAATGACTAAAAAAGGATTTTATTTATATTAAAAAGCAACATACAAATGAATGCCGAAAAAACGCACAACGAAGTCTAACAAGGATTAAGAAGTAAGCTTCATTCAGACGTTGTGAGCACCACCTGGTATCTTCAGCATCAATGTTACAATAATCCATCTTCCAGAAAAACTGATGTCTACCATGTGTATCTGAAATCTTCCTGGTCAGATAAAATAAATGAAACCACCAATGACATTAAATGTGTGTCCACAGAATTTATTTCTCCAGTAAACCACTTTAAAGGAACTACACCGAATATAAAATTGAACACATGCACATTTCCTGGGACAATAATATTACTACAACCGATTCTAAGACATTGCATCATGTAGTTTTACTTTACATAACAAAATAAAATAAAATATTTGTAGGGATAGAAGTGCATCCACTACCGTCTTCACTGCATTCTGAGGGCACCTGGAAGACAAAAAATCCTCCTTAGAAGTGCAAATAACATGGCAAGAGCTGAATTTCACAGAACAGATACATTATTTAATGGTACTACCAGATAGAAATGAAAAAAAGGAGCCTAATAATTCTACAAATCAAACCACCAGCTTCAAGTAAAACACTGACAAAACTTAAAACATTATCAGCCATTTATACAGATGTGATCTTGAAGGGGTTGATTTATTAAACTGGAAAGTGCAAAATGTGGTGCAGCTCTGCATAGAAACCAATCAGCTTAGTATTTTTTTCTTTTTGCTACACCATGCACAGCTGCACCAGATTTTGCATGCTCTACTTTTAGTAAATCAACCACTAAGTGGCTGAGAGAAACAATGGCGAAAGCACACAGCTTGGGATTTATACACATCACTCACCACCTCAAATGTATTTGGTGCGGTTCAGTGCTCGCTCCGCCAAGTGTCCACTTTTATCAGTTATCTTATCCCAATCCGTCTGGCCAACAACAAAGCCGATGGCCCTTTTCCGATCAGCATCTTTCTTTTCTTCCAGATCGGCCCATCTGACCTGGTGAAACAAGCAACAATCAAAACTTGAAGCAACAGACAGGATATAGAAAATGTATATGGTGACTAGCTATAACAAAATGCCATGGCTTCCTCAAGCACAATATTTTTGAATGACATGGCTTTGAATCTGCTTTACCCTCTTTTTCCCGGGCTCAGACTCCCGCGTGTCATAATCATCCGGAAGTTGTAGGTAATCTTCCATTCGGCTAGCCACTGATTCGTAGTCCCGCTTCCTCTTGTTGACCTTTAAGCCATCCAGCTTATCTGGGGAGAAAGAAGTTATGTTGGGTTACAAACCCTCCTAATAACACTGGACCATTTAGTTACATACAGTCCTGCCCAGGGGAACCAACCAGAGTCCAGTATGTGAAGAGAACTAAATGGTTAGTATGGGCAGTACAGCATGGCCACTTCTGAAGATTTGCTGAGCCACAGATACTATTGGAACTCGTAGCCCAACGTCTTCTCAAACACAGCCTTAACGTTTGAATACAGTGCTGCTCAAACGCATGCATTCAAATAGAAAACATGGCATGTGCCTGCAGTTCACACACCTCAATAGGACAGCTGCACTCGAAGATATGCAAGGCATGCCAGGTCAAACTCGGCCACTGAACTGCTGCCGCCTATGCAGATTCATTGAGGTTAATTGCAATTTGCTGACCTGTATTTCAAATGTCCATTAACAGCAGGAAACCAACGCACAACTACAAGAGAGCTTAAGATTTGTTTTAGTGCTAGCAGAGTAGGGACCCTGCTGTCATTACGATACAGTGCCAATGTGAAACGTCTTCAGTGTGGCCTACTGCGCTATCATCTGCTATGTGATCACGGTGTAGAACAGATAAAGCAATGTAGGAATCTGATTCGGATATACTGACATTGCCATCTGCCATTGGATTTCTCTCTCTGTTCTGCAATTTTTGCAGTGTTTACCTGAAAGTAACTTTTAAATATACATTTTATTTTCTTATAAGTCTGCTCTACACATTGCTATTGCCATGTAATGCAAACCCTAACTTACACACTTGTTCCAGGTCAGGACTGAAAGCATTGGTACAAGAAAGTCAGCATGATGACCAGGCAACTGGTATTTTGAAGCAGCAATGGCAGCCTTCACACTTCTCAGTTTCCTGTGAGGCAGAACTGTCGGCAAAAATCTAAATACACACCTGAATACACTGTATTGCCCAAAGCATTAGGCCAGCCCTCCAAATCATTGGATTCAGGTGTTCCAATCACCTCCTTGGCTACAAGTGTATAAAATCAAGCACCGAGGCATGCTTCTACAAACATCTGTAAAGGAATAGATCGCTCTCAGGAGCTCAGTGAATTCAAGCGTGGTACCGTGATAGGTTGCCACCTGTGCAATAAGTCCACCCATAAAATTCCACCCATAAAATTCTTGCTACTAAATATTCCATGGTTAACTGTTAGTGGTATTATAACAAAATGGAAACAACTGGGAACAGCAACTCAGCCACCAAGTGGTAGGCCACGTAACATGACAGAACAGGGTCAGCGCATGCTGAAGCGCAGAGTGCGCTGAAGTCGCCAACTGTCTGCAGAGTCAATAGCTAAAGACCTCCAAACTTTGTATGGCCTTCAGATTAGCACAATAGTGCATAGAGAGCTTCATGGAATGGGTTTCCATGGCCGAGCAGCTGCATCCAAGCCTTCCATCACCAAGTGCAATGCAAAGCGTCGGAGGAGACGTGTTCTCTGGAGTGACCAGTCACGCTTCTGTCTAGCAATCTGATGGACGTGTCTGGGTTTGGCGGTTGTCAGGAGAACAGTACTTGCCTGACTGCATTGTGCCAAGTGTAAAGTTTGGTGGAGGGGGGATTATGGTGTGGGGTTGCTTTTCTGGAGTTGGGGTTGGCCCCTTCGTTCCATTGAAGGGAACTCTTAAGGCGTCAGCATACCAAGACATTTTGGACAATTTCATGCTCCCAACTTTGTGGGAAGAGTTTGGGGATAGTCCCTTCCTGTTCCAACATGGCTGCACACCAGTGCACAAAGCAAGGTCCATAAAGACATGGATGAGCGAGTTTGGGGTGGAGGACCTTGACTAGCCTGCACAGGGTCCTGACCTCAACCCCATAGAACACCTTTGGGATAAATTAGAGTGGAGACTGTGAGCCAGGCCTCAGGCCTCCACCCCCTCCCCCAACATCAGTGCCTGACCTCACAAATATGCTTCTGAAAGAATGGTCAAACCTTCCCATAGGCACTCCTAAACCTTGTGGACGGCCTTCCCAGAAGAGTTGAAGCTGTTATAGCTGCAAAGGGCGGGGCCAACTCAATATGGAACCCTACAGACTAAGACTGGGAGGCCATTAAAGTTCATGTGCGTGTAAAGGTAGACGTCCCAATACTTTTGGCAATATAGTGTATAAAATATGGGAGGTAGTTAACCTACCAAAGGACAATTGCAACATGTACACAACTCCGCAAGACAGCACAGCCAACTTGGTGACTACACTTTATTGCACTAAAGCAATATAGCTGTTACCAACTCCCCACAATCCTATGACTGGACAATGAGGGAGAAGCACATTAATCATGGGGACCAGCAACCTGTAGATCGCAGCCAGGTGACTGGTGGATTGCGATATGGGCTTGCTGACTGACCGTCCCAGAGCATCAGGGTGTAATGCAGAGGGACTACTTGTAAAGTTTGAACTGTAGAAGGAAGCAAGAGCTGTATAAGCCGATGTCCCCTCTGTAGTGCCGGCTCCTGTGCCATGCAGAGTGAGACCAACTGCACTCCACTTCTTATCCCGCCTAGCGGTCTCCAGAGAGTATCAGCAGCAGGAAAGAAGAGATCTTCAGGTCAGTGTCGAGCGATATACTTGGCATATTAGTATAGGGCTGCTTTCACACGGATATGCTGCGGTTTACCCACACAGTGGGTGCAGTGCAGTGTACCGGCAACTTTCCTGCTAATTTGCGGTGCTTAACACCTTCCATGCATGACCCATTCAAGTGAATTAGGTTGCTCTGCAACCTTGTATAGCAAACAAGGGGTTAAAGCAGGCAGCATTGGGTTGCTTTCTCACCAATAGTTTTAACACCTTGGACCCCACAGAAGCATTCAGTTGCGTGGAGCTTGTAGAGTGGCCCCATGGGTTGTGATTGGCAGAAGGTAGCACCCACCAAAAGTAACAGGGGTTTAATTTCTGCTGCAGCATGTGTACATCTTTGGCTGCTGCCTCAGCAGCTAAGGGGAGTGTAGAGATTGGGGTAAGTTAAACTGCGACTCAACCGCAGAGTTTTACCACCTAACAACTTTACATGTGAACAAGCTGTAAAGGTGCCACTGTCAAAATGTAACCAAGGGCCCATTCACAAGTGCAGCAGGCACTGCTGATCCACTGAAAAGGGATCCGAGTGTGTTTGACAGGTATTGAGGAGGTGATATTTTACCTCCTCACCACTTGATTTAAACCCATGATTGCTGTGCAATGCACTCAACTGCAACATGGTAGTATGGCAATTAGAGGTTTAAATCAGGTGTGAGGAGGAGACATTGTGCCCATTGATCTTTGACTTCTCCCTTGTTGTTCAGGTAGATCTGCACCTCTTTGAGGTTGCCTACCCCTGCTAATAATCAGTATGGATATATATAAGGGTTTACAACCAGTTTGAATCTAGAATTGTGTAAGTCAGCCACTAGAAGGAGCTGTCTGGGCTCAGCACAGGCACTCCTCTCCTTAAATCAGTAAGGCAAGGAGTACAATGCTTTTAGTAGCAAAAATAAAATAAATAATAATCAAAAGGCATTTTGCACCACAGTACAGAAGAAGAGAGCCAGTACATGTAATAAGATATCGCGATGCTCCTATTGACAGTACACGCAGTACACACAGAAACAAGGATCTTAAATCAAGAGTAGGTATAGATGAGGTTATCCACATCAAGAAGATCTCTTACATGTTTATCTAAAGCCAATTTTTTTTTCCTCCCATTTTGGATGGAGTAGGGGGATGGTTAAAACTGCTGTCAGATTCTTAATTTTCTCTCAGTGGGGAAATTTCTCCTAATTTCCTGTTCTAAAGACTCAACAGCAAGTAAAAAGATCTCTTTTCAATATGAAGGAAATCCCCTTGCAGACAGATTCCACAGAAACAAGCGTCCCCTTTGGAAGAGTTTTCTGCTATTCCCATTGGTGAATCTCCCCTGACTTTTATTCCTGAAGACTTTGCTGACCAGAACAATTGTGGAGATCGAATCTCCTTAACATGGACACAAACAATAAAAACTCAACATTGGTTCTAACCTCTCACCACTACTTCCAAATCTGAAACAAAAGTTTACATATCCTTTGAAAAAACATTGAAAGGACTAAACATTCTCTCTGCATTAACGTTGGACATACATGGGCTGAACGAAAAAAGTCCTAACAGATTCCTCCTATACAGAGCGGACGGACTGTGGCGGCTCTTTTATAATCAACAGCCTGCACCACCAGCTGTCAAAAAATACCTGAACACTGGCTGCATCCAACAACTTTCCGCTCGGCTCCTTCAATTTTTCAACTGCATTATGTCGGGGAGGAAGGGGTACGGCGGATACCCACTAAGCGAATTACAGACTGTTCATCAGGACCTGGCCAAAAACCACACAGTGCATGGCCAGGTTTTGCTGAAATTTTACTTTGATTCTGTAAAATATCACCCAGGCACCCTTTTCATTGGTGAAAGGCTCCCTTTAAGGAGCCCACCAAACACCCCCCACATTAAAGTGGTAGTAAACCCTGCTTGCTCACTTGATCTCAGGGGTGTCAAACTGGCATCTCTCCAGCTGTTTCGAAACTACAAGTCCCATCATGCCCCTGCCTTTGGGAGCCATGCTTGTAACTGTCAGTCTTGCAATTCCTCATGGGACTTTTAGTTTGCCAACAGCTGGAGGGCTGCCAGTTTGACACCCGTGCTGTAGGCAATAGGAAAATCACCTAAACGTGCATGGCTTAGAAGATGTCCACCACTTATGCAGCCAGTGATGTCACCAATGCATGCGCACTGCGTTGTGAAGGAATGACATATTGTCCCTTCAGTGTGCTGCGGCAATGGCATCCGTAGTGACGACACTGCGGCTCCGCCATTCAAATGGCTGGAGCCCGTGAACCCGGAAGATGGAGGAAATCTTGACATCGGTGACAGTGTGCCGTTGGAGCGCTTAGATTTAAGGCAAGTCTTTCATAATGTGCTAGTATGAGATCCATACTAGCACATTATGCCCAATTTGCAGGGGAAAGATTT